GATTTAAAGTGTAAGGAAAGATGACCAGGTTGTATGCAAATGGTCAACAGATACCGAGGGATGGCTATTGAGAGAGCAAATGGAAAACAGTGACTTACTGAAAAGGAAAGAAGAAAGTGGTAGTAGGTAGGACTACTTCCAGGAACACTGTAGTGGTATTATCTGAAAAGCTGATCAGAAAAGTCTGTTGTGAAGCAGTTGTGTTCGAGTCTGGGAATATATTTTTCCGGGGGGTCATGGTCTATACATGTTGCTGGAGCTTGCAAAAGTTTATCAGGAGAGCGTCTACAGTAAAGACTAAGATTGCAGAAGATGACCTTCTTTTAAGTGAGATGGGGAGCTCCAGGAGAATCGAGAGTCTAAGCTGGCAATAACCAAATTCCAAGTCCTTCGTAAAATGTCACATCGACAAAGTATGGAATGGTGGGTCATTTCTAAATCTTACTACTGAATTCTCTTGGGCATGTTCATCTTTTTTCATCAAACAATCTATCCCAAGGGAAAAGGAACAAGAAAATTTACTTCTTGTTTTCAATTATTTTTATTTAAGGCCCAGTAGAGCAGGACTCTCTATCATATGCAGAATATTGAAATATGCTTGGTCTCAATCATTGTGGAACCTTCCATATCAAACTGAGAGATTTCCAGGGTGCTTTCCTCCTGCTTCTCAGTACTCCTCACGTCTCATGTTCTTTTTTTTTTTTCAATATAAAAGTGCCAAAAGTATTTTGCATAAAGGAAGAAAAATATTAACCTATCAGGACACTTAGCCTACATCCTTGTCCCCAGAGCAAGCGAGCTGGCCCAGTAGAAATTGCCTGGATCAATACTTCTACAATGAATTCTGACTTGAAGTGTCCTCCTTTAGCAAAAATTTAGACATATAGCATGAAAACTTGACTTGCTAAATCTGTGTGTGTGGTAAACTGCATATGCTTTCATTTATATTTGCATTCCCAAAGCTAATTTTGCAAGAGAAAAACAGAGGATATTATGTTCTTTAATTGCACTAAGAACTGCTAATGAAGATGAGGAAAATGCCTGCAAGATCATCTTTGTACTGGGCATTAAAAGTGATCAGATATTCTCATAAGCTACCTAGTTATATGTTGAAATGCCAAGATAATCATAAACAGATATTAGCTATGTGATATATATCAATATATATGAAGACAAAACAAAATATATGAAATATTGATCTGTTTGGTCAATGTGATTCGAGTAATACTTTAAAGCTGTCAGTCAATAATCAATACTAAATTTATAAAGTACAAAAGTGTTATATTCAGGGTCTTAGGAATGGCGTTTCAGGAAACACCAGTCCCTATAAAGCCAAAGTGTGTTCTGAAGAGAAAATAAGGAATTTGGGTTTAAAAAGGCAAAAACCCACAATGATAAGATTAAGCAAGCATTAAAGCACAAGAGTCCATAGCAAACTGGTCAACTTGCCATCACAGGCATAAAGCAGCCTGTCACTTGGTCTCTAGGCACCATTTTATTACACACACTCTCTGACAAGAGTAGCTCCATCCCTGTGAGAGTTTTCCATGATTGCACAAGGGCCACTCAACAGCAAAGCTGATTTACTTTAAATTCCTTACTTGGAGGCCATATTTAGAGGAAGAAGTTAGGTTTTCAAAAGCTCCCTGTCCTGGATTTGCTCATCCCCCCCTTTGCAGATTCTCTCTCCATTTTCTCCACCTTGTTCCACTCCCTAAAAGTTGATCTCTGTGTACCTCCTCCCCAGGTTCCTTTGCCCTTTAATTAATGGTCAGGGTCTACCCGTGGTAAGCAATATCATAAAACCGGAAAGCAAAAGTCCAACTATTCACTTCCTGATGCCCGCCTCTCATACACACACCCTCACCCCCACCACTATAACAAGCAGCAGCAGCTTCATTCTATTCCCATCCATGGTTCCTTGTGGGAGGACCCTACACCATACACAGAGTGGGGATAATTTCCCACTATGGATGGTCTCAGGATGACTCCCAACCACATGATATCTCTGGGTCTTTAAGGCCTTCACTAAATAGCACCTTCATTAAATTCTCTCATTACACTGTTGAATATGCTGTCATCTCCTGCTTTGATATTGACCATCAGAATCTGCGGGAAGGTGAACTTTAAAAAAGGAGGAACAGAATAAAGCAATGTTGACCTTGGCCTCCTTATCAATAAGTGGAAATGGGTTTGTATCCTGATTAGCCAGTATATAAAGAGAACTCAAAGTGCTGAACTGAAAAGAAGGAGTCAGAATAGATATGTTTTGATAAATGCATGAGTAAAATTAGTTTGGTGCAAACTACTTGAAAGCAGCTAGGGATACAGAAAGGGCAGTAGCAGGGAAATGGAACTTCATGAATAAGGAAAAAGAAGACGCATCTATTTTGATTCCAAGAGAAAACCAGAGCCAGGAGTCAGCCCACCCCTTTTTAGTTCTGCCAAGGTTAAAGTATCCTGTTATGGCCTCTAATTTTTTAATTCAATATCCAATGACCTCAAACAAATGCTATTTCTCTTTTCTTTATTCTTTTTAAATGTCTTAAACCAAGAACTTAATGTCTGTTTCCTATTATATGTATTTCATAAAGATCTGAAAAAATTCATTTTGTCCTAGTGAGAGTTTCCAAGATTAAAATAGCTACATATCAGGGAAAAAAAAGCCAATACACAACTATACATCAGTTATTATGCATCATATCTGGTAACACAATTGCCTTTCGATTTGAGGCTTCTGCCATCTAGTGATGTAAGGTGATCTTACAATTTAACAATGCCAGCAAATACTATAGAGTGTTTCAACTCTGAAAAAGACATTGAAATCCTTGTTGCCATAGGCACATTAACTATTGTAAGGAAATGTCTCGCATTATGCCATCATGTGATATGTCTTCCACATGATGGTATTGAATGAAGGGTTTATTTTGTATAAATAAAGCTCCATAAATTGATATTAAAACATTTTGTCTCCTTTCTTCCTTCAAGGTGAGACTAAAAGCCATGCAAGCATACTTATTTGAAAATCAGCATTAGAAATGTCTTTGACTTACTGCTAGGGCAATATCTTATATTAGCTAAGAACACTCCAGATTTCCAGTCAGACAATAATCACATTCTTTACAAATCATATTCTGCAAAAGGCTTTATTAGTTAATTCAAAAGTAGAGCAAGAGAAATGACCCACTTTTTACTTTGCCATGCATAATTTTCTTTCACATTTAACAAGTACTTATTTTGTGCAAGATACTCTCTTCAATGTTGAGTTAATTGGAGAAATAGATAACTCTGCCTTGCTTGAGTTATTGTTATGCCTTGTGTCTAGATGCCCCCCCTAAAGCCTCATGCAGTCATAGAAGGGGCTTTTTCAGAGGTGGCTGGATCTGGAATCTGTGATGCTGGGATTAAGGGTGTGTGAATATGAAATTATTTCGTTGATTGGTTTAGCACTTACTTGCCCTAAGCCCAGTAGCCTAGATAGAATATAAAAGGGGCAGAAAGAAGCTGCCGTTGTTGATCATTGCTTCCCTGTTGCCTTCTACCTGTAATGAACTGTTTCTCCTTGGCACCCTGCCTTAGATTCAGCCATTTAGGGACTGAAATCTCTACAAACTGTGAACCAAATAAACCCTTCCTCTTTTAACTTTGAGAGTCAAGTATTTTGTCTCAGCAACAAGACAAGTAATAAGACAGTTATTAATTATATTCTGTATATTTGAAGATCATTTAGAGATTATCTAAATGTACATAACTGTTTTATTTGTGACTGTTTTATTTATAAAGAGAAAAACAAGCACAACTGGTAGGAGCAGAATTGTATAAATGTCCATCTTTGAACATTCACAATACTTTAGATCAGTGCTCTCAGACTTACAGACTCGTCTGGGTCAGACTGACTGAAGAGAGATGGTCTTGGGCTGCCGTTAAGATTTGATCTAAAAATCATCCCCTAAAGTGCCATGCATTCAGACTGAGGCTTTTGGAAGGTGGTTAGGTAATGGAAGTACTAAATTCATCAGTGAATTAATGCATTATTGAATTCAGAGCTAAGTGGGCTTGGGGATAGGGCTGGGCCACTGTTGGCAGCCTTTGCAGGGTATATTTCTTCCAGTTCTCACTACTTCCTGGCTGCTATGGGTTCAGCAGCTTTCCTTTGTCATGTTTTTCCACAATGATGGTTCTGCCTCAGAGCCAGCCACTCATAGTCTGAAACCTCTAAAATGTAAACCAAAATAAACCTTTTGTCCTTTAAGTTGCAACATTCACAGGCATTTTTTCATAGCACCAATACAGCTGACCAGTACTGCCACAAATAAAATACATAAGTACAGTAACAAAATACGTAGTCATAATAACAAAATACATAGTTACAGTAACAAAATGGTCTTTATATTTTACAATTTTATTATAACATTTAAGAAAGAGGACAACATAAACATAAAACCAATTAGATGGTAGACCTTGTTTTTGTGGGATGCCTGAATATTTGGTTTGATAAAAGTGGTTGCAATTTTTAGCGAGTTCTCAGAGTACTCATCAGGCTTCCATTGTAACCTATGCAACCTGTACTCAAGAATCATGCAATTAAAGCCACAAAAAATATCACCAAAAAACCTCACATGATAATGCTAAACAATTACAGTCATTTGGGGTGCATTACTAGCTGAGCAAGACCCCATGCAGTCCGTGGGCCACAGGTTGAATATGCCTACTTTAGAATACAAAAGTTATGTTTCTGACCAGCCCTGGTACTGGACAGGGTCCAAGGAGGTTGCTCTGGAGACTTTCCCCATGGATAGGTTCCTGCCTTATTACACAAAAAGAATTTCAGGACACATCAGTGAGAGGCATAGGCAAATTTATTAGACAGAGTTAGAAAGGAAGAGAAAATAGGGAAGGGATTCCAGTCTGTGGAGTTGCAGGGAATTAGCTCTTATGAATAGAGTCAGATTGGATCATACAAAACAATAAGATCAGCTTGTATGGATTTGCTGGGGTGGGCTAGATCTGGCTGATCATTATGTCAGTTCTGGTTTTGCAAGATGTCATTGAAAGAAGTCCTCATTGCTTGAGGAGGTGATTCAGTCTCCATGACAGCATTGTTTCTGTTGGGGGCATTATCAGTTTGTGGAGGATCTACAAGAACCCAAAGTGACCATAGGTTTAGGGTCATAATTGAAGACTTCACAGTGCTTATCAGTAGTTGAATTTAAATTACTTAATTTGCTGTCTTGGTTACTTAAATTTAGGATTAATCAACATTGTATTGCCAGCTTTTAAACTTAAAAGATTAAGATGTCTTTATACAGAGCTGAGAAGGGATGTGGCCAAAAGTTTTAATGTTAAAAAAGAGACAGATAAAGAATATTTATTCTGGTTTTAGTTTCCTACTGAGCACCTATGGACCCAAGTAAAGAGTCAGGGTTGTTTTTCATTTTTTTGTTTTGTTTTTAGCAAAAATAGTTTTAAAGTCCATGATTGAACACACTTTTAATGAATAACAGGTTAAGAGGTGTGATTTTGTCCTCTCTCCCTGTGATGGGCTTATAAATTATAAAATTATAATTATAAAAAATAACTCAAAGTGTGGATGAACTCATACCCCTGAAGACTAGGTAGATAGATCAGCATCACTGTGGACCAGATGGATGGATCTGCACCCTATGGATCAGACAGACAAATCCACACATTGGCCACCACCAACTCTGTAATTGTGCATTCTGTTCCCTGGCCACCCACCAACTCCAAGCCAGTTCTGTATTTTGTTTCTCCCCGGCAGGGGTCAATGGAGGGACTAACAAACCAACCAATCCAATCCTGGATGAGGACAATGCCTGGGAAGAGAAGAAAGGGTTTTTACCTCATAGGACAATACAGCAAGCCACCTCAAGAACACATCCACTGGCCAACTTCAAGCCAGCTCTACTTTTCATTTCCTCTTGGCACAGGGCAGCAGAAACAAGGACTAACCAACTGACCACATCTTGGAAGAACCCAATGCCCCATGAAAAAAAAGGTAAGCCAGGAGGTCCAGCAGACCCAGGAATAAAGTATGAACCTGACCCTGAAGGATGCTAATGTTATCCTCCCAAAAAGAGAAGACTGCTGTAGAGAGGAAATAAGTTAGACACTGATTCCCTAAGAAGTTTAAGCTTGGACTGGGAAGGACACAGGCACTTCCATCTCTAGTGAGAAAACAGGCCAGTGAGTACTGATATTAAGAACCACAGTCTGCTTAGACACCAGCCCCATAGCTTATATCCAGCAGCAACCACAGAGCTGATTGCTTTTTCCTTCTACAAATGTAAGCAAGGATGTGGTTAGGCTTGGAAAGTTATTAGAGTCTGGACTGAACAGACAGAGTGGCTTCTAGTGCAGCAAGGGCACCTCACAAAACCTCAGATCCTAAAGATAGAAAATTGTAACTTTCTGGGTTTGAAGTCTACAAATGCTGGGGACAATTAAAAAATGCAGAGTAATTTAGGACTCAAACCTTAACCATTCTCAGGCCACATATAGGCAGAGACATACTAAAATCTCAATTCTGAGAGCACACCAATGAGCAGAACTGGTAATTCCAAGTCTTCCTTTCCTGGACCATATCAATTGATTCAAGGATACCTAAACCATGCCATAAAGTACCTCAGATATCTACAAAGTTATCAGGAAAAAGATATCCACTCTTCCAAAGATTATTAGCTATAAGGCTAATGTAAGCCTAGAGTAGTCAGTAGTCAGTTTTGCCATCACATGAAACCCAAAAGATGGAGGTATGCAGAGAAGACAAGTCTGAGGATATCAGAGTCCATGAATACAGCTCAACTCTGCCTTCTCTGTTATGGCTTAGGTTGGTCTGAATTGAGTTTTGATCACTAATACCTGAGCATAGAATCTAGGACAGTACTCATATTTTTTGTTGTACATTAAAAATAAAAACAAGTGAAATAAATTGTATAAGTTGTCCAAATATGTATTAAGACAAAAGCAAAGCTAAAAAGAGAGAGCAGTAAAAATGAGATGGGTTGCAATATGTAAGATGAATAATAAATAAAATTGAAAGTCAAAAAAGTTCATGTGCTATTAAGATAAATGAGAAATTATTAGATATAATAATTAGCAAACAATATAGGTGACCTCTGAAAGAAAAGAGTTGTGGATATAAGAAACAATATGAAATTAAAGAACTGAATGCTGGGTACCAGAATTTGGAGGGGTTAAAGGGAGAAGGAAGCATAGAAGAATGTTGGTCAAATAATATACAATTAAGTTACATGGACTAAGTCCAAGAAATATATTGTAGAGCATGATAACTATAGTTAATAGTGATATATTTTATTAGGCAAAAATAAAAGAGATTCAAATAGGAAAAGGAAAAAAATCAAATTATTCTCATTTGCATATGATATGATCCTGTATTTAGAAGACTCTAAAAATTCTTGCAGAAGAATTTTAAATCTGATAAACAAATTCAACTGTGAAAGAGAATAGCTTTTCTTTACACCAATAATGAACTCACTGAGAAATAAATCAGGAAAATAATTCCATCCATAATGGCCTCAAAAATACCTGGGAATAAACCTAAGAAATTTCTAAAAAAAAAAAAAAAAATTACTGCTAGGAGTGCTGCACCATAGATCAGTATTATTGGGCCTAACTCTCTCCTCCTCTCATGAATGAGGCAGAGCCCTGTAGGAGAACAGATGACAAGAAAGTGTGGCAGAGCAGGGCCTGGCTGAGAGGAGGATGTGTCTTCCTGTCCATTCCCCATAAAACCATCAGACATGATTTTCTGCAGACCTTAGATACTCTCCTGGCTCTGGTTACAGACCAGTCTCTTTTACCTCCCCCTGTACTTCCCTTATCTCTACCACTGTAAATAAATGCATTGCAGTTGCCTGGCAGACCTTTTCTTCCATCAGGAGTGAGGCTCCACCCGGCCCCAGCTTTGTTGCTCTTTGTTCTTTTGTATCTCTTTGCATTGTCTTAATCCCCCGTCATTCTCACTCCATGGGCCCTTCAGCCATGCAGGCAGTGGCAAATTACAGAACCCTAAAACATTGGAGAAGACAATAGAAGATGATAAGACTTCACACCTCCATGGATCATCAGTGTGTAAGTGGCCAAAATACTGAATGTAGTCCTCACCAAAAGTTCAATGACATTCTTCACAGAACTAGAAAATCAATCTAAGAATTCATATGGAAACACAGACTCCAAGTAGCCAAAATAATACAGAACAAAAACAGCAGTGCTACATGTATTACAGTAATCAGTTTCAAAATATACTACAAAGTTATAATAACAAAAACAGTATTTTACTGGCAAAAGAATACACACAAAGACTAGTTGGAATATACTAGAGAACAAAGAAAGAAATCTATTCTGCTACAGCCATCTGATTCTTGACAAAAGGGCTAAAAACACATGAATTTAAAAAAACATCTCTTTAACAATTGGAGCTGGAAAAACTGGACATCTCTGTGTACAACTTTGAAATTAGATCCCCATCATTCAACCTGTACCAAAGTCAATTCAAATTGGATCAAAGACCTAAACATAAAACCTGAAACTTTGAAACATCTGGAAAAAATCCAGGAGAAATAGTTGAAGACATAGACACAGGCAACAACTGCATGAATAGGACTTTGATAATTCAAAAAACTGTAGCATAAATTGACATGTAGGATTGTATGAAATTCAAAAGCTTTTGCCCACAAAAAAAAAAGAGAATGAATAAATGTCCTACAGAAGGGAGAAAGTTATCCCAGCTATTCTTCCAATAGAAGATTAATATATAATTATGCTGTATATTAATATAAAGAACTCTTTCTTTTTTCTTTTTATTGAGTTTATTGGTACATTCTAGGTATACAGTACAGTTACATTCATTACTGGGATCTTGTACCTTTACATGACAGGTCTTGGTTCTCATTTTTTCCCCTTGTCCCTACCCTCCCTTCACTCCCTCCTCCCCTCACCATTTACAAACACTGTAATTCCATTTTTACATTTTCTCATATTTTTTTCCTTTTCCCTTATTCCTCTTCCCCTACCCTTCCCACTTTTCCTGCACCTTTCTTTGGTCCTTTTCTTCCTATTTCACATTGTTAATTATCCCATTAGCATCTTGAGTACTATTATAGTTTTTCACATGAGAGACACTATTTGGTATTTACACATGTGTGACTTATTTCACTTAGGAGTATATCCTCAAAATGTATCCATTTTCCTATGAATGACTCTAATTTCTCATTCTTTATGGCTCAGTAGTATTCCATTTTATAGAAAAACCACATCTTCTTTATCCAGTTTCCAACTGATTAAACAACTCTTTCTATATAATATATATAACATAACACTTTTCAAAAAAACCCCAATCAATAATTAAGCAAATGAATTGAACAAAGACTTCTCAAATGAAATTAAAATAGCCAGTAAGGATACAGAAAATATTCAACATCTTTAGATCAGGGAAATGCAAATCAAAACTACATTGAGATTCCATCTTACTCTCTAACAGAATGGTTATCATCAAGAATAGTCAATCAACCAAAAAATACTCGTGAAAATACAGGGAAATAAGAACCTCTTACATTATTGGTGAAGATGTAAATTAGTGCAACTGCTAAAGAAATCAGAATGGAAGTTCCTCAAACATTAAAAATATATTTGGGCCATGAATTAGGCTCAGTGGTTCCACTGCCTTCCTCACAAATGTAAGGTCCTGAGTTTAATCCCTGGTACAAAAACAAACAAACAAAAAAAAATACACACACACACACACACACACACACACACATTTGATCTAGCATACCAATTTCCAATAAATACTTGAAAGAATTTAAGTCAACGTATTATACAGATATCTTCATACCTACATTTATTGAGATACAATTCACAATAATTAAGCTATAAAAACTCCTAGACGACCCCTTTGACCCAGCACCACAGGGAGCCCAGCCACCACCCTGTGACCAACACTCCAGTTGGCACACTCCTTTGATCCAGTGCCACAGAGGAGCCTGGCTAAGTGGGCACCGATAAAGAGCTGTTCATGCCCGGTGCCCCCCTGTGAACAAGATAAAGAAGGCCTCTCCGAGGCTCCTAGATGAAAATTGAAGTCAAATGGAAAAGTG